TATTCTTGTCCTCCTCCTCCTGAACCACACAGCTCCTCCATATCACAGTATACAGAATAAATGGAACTAGTATTTACCACTAGATGCATACCTGATGAACTAGATGGTTGGGCCTCCTTAATCTTTTTACAAGAGGTAGGTAAAGCAGTTGAGTCATTGTGTGGTACTAATAGTTCTTGTGCTATTAGTAGTATATCATCAACCACTCCAGCAGTAGAGGTACTGGTGTCTTGTAGATTAGAGAGAGTATTGACAATGTTTATTAGCTTTTGTGCAGAATCTGTTGTAGTTTGTAAGATTTTAGCATTGATTTCAGTGAAGTTTGAAGAGTTTTGCAGTAACTGAGCGGTATACTGTGCCACACCATTAGCCCATTCATCGAAATCAGGAAGGGTCTTGTTAACTTTAGATGCAACACCATTAGCCCATCGATCGAAATCAGGAAGGGTCTTGTTAACTTTAGATACAACACCATTAGCCCATTCATCGAAATCAGGAAGGGTCTTGTTAACTTTAGATACAACACCATTAGCCCATTCATCGAAATCAGGAAGGGTCTTGTTAACTTTAGATACAACACCATTAGCCCATTGATCGAAATCAGGAAGGGTCTTGTTAACTTTAGATACAACACCATTAGCCCATTGATCGAAATCAGGAAGGGTCTTGTTAACTTTAGATACAACACCATTATCATCTTTAGCAGACAATAGCACCAGTGATAGGCAAAGTATTACCACCAGTAGCAATACCATGAGACACAGCAGTCCAGCAATAACAACCAATGGTGTACTCCATGTTGACTGCTTTGATACTTTATTCTGTATCGGCACTTCTGTTGATGGAGCAGCAGCATCATGATCCTTCCTTGCATTATTAATATTCATGTTAAGCATCTCATAATGATGCTCCTGACTCTGTATTGGAGCTAATGACATGTATGACATGTCCTCGTTATTTTCTGTTCCTTCCATTGCAATTTTCACTTAATTCAAACAGTTCCAAGAAGCTGCTACTCTTTACATTTATATAGTAATGCAAGACAATATTGTGATATAATATTTATTAGTTACATGATATTGTTGAAATGATAGATAAGATCGCTACCAAGATTGTGTAATCCTATTTAATAAGTATCCTCTAGATACAAACTATACACTTTTTGAATTGATAGTGTAACAAACACTTCTATTGATCTTATGCAACTCATTCCAATAGCTGAACTGTGTACTTGTTAGTAGGAAATGGCATATACATCAGTAAAAACACTGTTGTTTCTACTATATTGAAAGTCATTTATAGTTTTATATTCATCATGTGTATTTTTTACACATAAACTGCAGTATGTACTTGTTAGTAGTAATTATGAATGATAATAGTATATACAGTAGCAGACATTGTTATTGATTGCATGACTATAATATATTCCCCTTTAAATACTGTGAAATGAGTAGATTTTGTCTGGTCATACTTTTATTACGAAGCCTTGAACAAATCTTGTTTGGTGTAGAAAGTTTGAGCTGATGCTGACTCAAATTTTTTGAGTAATGAGCATTTTAAAAATGATCCAAATTAAAAAAACCAAATGCTTTTTGTAGCCCATGGTTTTCTTCAGAAAATGGCTCCAAAATGACCCCAAACTTTTATTACATTTTCTGATATATATTGATGCCCTTATGCTGTGTAGAAAGTTAGAGGTGATTCCGGCTTTACTTTTTCAAGTTATGACCATTTTTTAAAACTCCAAATTTTGGAAAATGCCCTGTACTATAAGCCCATGGTTCCTTCTGAAAAATGGCTCTGAAATCACCCCAAACTTTTATTACATAAATAGACTTTTTTCCAAATTCAACTATTTGTATGCATTTTGTCTCTTCTACAATCTAATAATGACTAAATCACAGAAAACATTCTAATAAAATTAGTCCTATATATACACACTTTTTTGTTCAGCAAGGTTCTGGCTTTGCATGTTCAAACTTCATTTGACATACAACTCATAAAAGCTGACAGGAGCATCCTCATTAGCTGTTCCCTCATCTCCACACACCCTCAGCTCAAGGTAGTCAGTAGTGGTAGTACCAAGTACCTTATTGAACCATGGAATACCAGTAGCATTACAGCAATTACCTTCAAGACTACCACATCCTTCACCATCCCACAATGGATCAGTTCCATAGAGTATGGATTGCCATGTATCACTAGTAGCAGGATTACCAGATTCACAGAAGTAGTCATTCCCAATGAAAGACAAGACTGAGTGTTGAAACTTACCATTTTGAGCACACGGACAGTTGAATTGACCAATAGAATGAATAGCAGCTTCATGCAGTCCAGCCATTAGTGTCCAAACATGTTGACGAGGAGAGCCACAAGTGATACTAACACCATCAATGTAAAATGAATCAAGGCCGTGTTCAGCATGAGGATTAGCATCAGTTGATCCATACTGATATCCCACTACTCTACCACACACTTGAGAGTAACTGATACCATTAGATGGAAACTGAACTGATGTACAACTGCCTCCACTTGATGTTGCTCTACCACAAGCTCTAACTCCTCCTGACTGGTACAGTCTAAACCCAGAAGGACAGTTCTCTGTAGGATCAGTCGTATTCAGATATGCTAGTCTTGTCCATCCTCCTCCTGAACCACACAGCTCCTCCATATTACAGTAAGCAGTAATGGTATTTGCCAGAAGATACACACCTGATGGACTGAGTGGTTGTCTCTTCTTAATCTCTTTACAAGAGGTAGGTAAAGCAGTTGAGTCATTGTGAAGTGCTAATAGTTCTAGTGCTTTAAGTAGTATATCATCAACCACTCCAGCAATAGAGGTACTGGTGTCTTCTAGATTAGAGAGGGTTTTGACAATGTTTATTAGCTTTTGTGCAGAATCTCTTGTAGTTTGCAAGATTTGTTCATTGATTTCAGTGAAGTTTGAAGAGTTTTGCAGTAACTGAGCAGTATTCTGTGCCACACCATTAGCCCATTGATTAAAATCAGGAAGGGCCTGGTTAACTTTAGATACAACATCATTAGCCCATTGATTGAAATTAGGAAGGGTCTGGTTAACTTTAGATACAACATCATTAGCCCATTGATCAAAATCAGGAAGGCTCTTGTTGACTTTAGATACAACATCATTAGCCCATTCAGTGAAGTTAGGAGGAACAAAACTTCCAGCTCCAGCAATAGCTCCAGTGATAGCTGTATTGCTGGTACTGGTAGCATCTTTAGCAGACAATAGCACCAGTAATAAGCAAAGTATTACCACCAGTAGCAATACCATGAGACACAGCAGGT